TGCTGAATACCTAGGAGATTCCTGTGTCTTCCATATACACTGCATCTAGGGGGACTCCTACATTTGCCCGAAAGAGCACGTGCATCATTACTCTGACCTTCTCATTAACAACCGTCCTTCTTATCCGGCGGTGAAAGCCACTCACCTGTAAAGGTTGTACACCTCTTTCAGGCCAGACTTCCTGTGTGCAAATAGAAGAGACAACATCCTTTCAACATCCATAAGAAATCTCTACTAAATGCAGAGTCGATTGTACAATTGTGACTATATCATGAGTATATATCACTCAGCAGCAAAAACAACGTCAGTACGAATTAGATAGGCACATTACAGAAATAGACATAATAATCGGATCAAAAACATTTTTTGTGTACAATATCCTAACAATGAATAACTCAGCACAATTCCAAGACATTACGTGAACGTTTGCAGTCCATTCAAACTCTTGACTTCAGTATCTAGTGTGAAGTGCACCAATCGATTGATGAAGGCCATTGGCACCTTGAACCACACTCTGAGAAATGCCTGATGCAACGAATCGGCTGTGTTCGGCCTTGGTATGACATTATTCAGTCTCCTTTGAATTTCATACCAAAGATGTTCAATTGGGTTTAAATGAGGACCAAGGGCTGGCCACTGCATAATGTTGACACCGTTCTGCTGTAGGAAGTCCCGTGTAGCTCTGGCAGAATGGGTCCGGGCGTTATCATGCTGGAAAATGTTGTTCCGGTGACGTGCGAAATGTGGTATGACGTGGGGTCTGAGAGCTTGGTCGATGTAGCGCACCGCTGTGATGCCGCCTCCTCTCCCTGAACCAAGGTTCTGGAACACCACAGGACCACTCTCCGGTTCAGGCCTATTGCACCCCATACCAAGATGCTTGCACCTCCCCATGAGTCTCTTTCCATAACACATTGGTCTGAGTAACGGTGGCCAGGTCGTCACCATATTCTTGTTCTGCCATCTGCAGTACCGACTCTCATATGTGAAGAGAACAGTTCTCCATTGCCTGTATCGCCAGTTTTGGTGTTGTAGACGTTCACGCCGATGACGAGGGGTAAGGATAGGTCCACGATAAGATCTACGGCAATGGAGGTTCCAGCTGTTAAGACGTGGGCATACGGTATCAGTACTGATTGGTTTTCCGTGTGTTCCCACTGTCCGGCGTGCTGTTTCGGATGCCTACACGAAGGGATTCTGTACATGCTGTCGCACAACATGGCGGTCTTGTAGTCTTGTGGTCACCCTTGGTCTGCCATTACGGGGGCGATCATTTGTGGTGTTGGTGGCCCGGAAACATTGCTGCAGCCTGTAGATGGTCCGAACGTTGACCTGGAAGTGATTGGCTTGTGCAGTGTGGCCAGCTTCAAGTCTTCCTAGCGCCTGGTTCCTTTCAGCTGTCTTGAGTCGCGGCATCCTACTGACATTGTAATGTGAATGTTTCAACCAGGTTTGGGGGTGCATTTTATAGGACTGGTCCTCCTGAACAGCACGTGCAGCATGAGTTGCATGAAAAACATGGAGATCACCGTACCATCTCCGAGATCAGGTTGCGCTTTTGAGACCATTTCCTGAGTTTGGGAAGGAATGTCTTTGCTCAGGTAAAGTTGGAGATGTTGTCAAAAATATACAATCAAAACATTAAATGAGCTTACAGTTATCCGTTTCTGCGAAGGAAAATTCCAACCTGACGTTTCTTTTGCTGCTTAGTATATTTATTTCAGCAGTATTACAGCTGTACGATGTAGTTTGTAAACAAATCGATTTGAGCCATACGATATGATGATATGATGACAGAGCAAGTCACCTACTGTAGAGAATATACACCTGTACATTCTGTGGCTGAATGATATCTGTCGTGGAGCGATTGTGCTGCCATAACGGTAATCGGTCTAGGGAATACGATAAGTTATATCTGCCGATTCTTTAAACTGCACCTTCCGTGTTCAACAGCGTTAAGTATTTTGAAAACATTATTTGTAACATTGTGTATTTGTTCTTCACTTGTTGGACATAATGTTTTGACTATCTTGGATTTATGTAACCGCCACGTGCTGTCATGCCTTAGCCTATCGGACTTGATTGACAGAGAACAGAAAGGTCAACTGAAGGAAGGCTCATCTCGGTGGACCTATCGTGCATGTCGGAGCGCAATCGGTGTGACTGCAGGCTTCAGGAAATTAGTAAACAAGGCCGTTATTGTTGATAAAGTGAGAAGTGCAGGGCCGTGTACTTAACACCGGGGGTGGAAGTCATCGATCTCCAGACTGATTTACAATAACGGAACAAAACGCACATATACTGGCCGTTCGCAAGGACTGAATAGGTGCAGCCCTGATTTGTTTCAAGTCAATGAAATGAAAACATAATCCTCTTCTACCATTTACAAGCTGTATCCTCATTATACTAGCTTTAAATTCAGAATTCGCTTCATATCTAAATATGTTCAGTTTGCCAGGGGACGTATTTAATATTGGGTTGAAAAGAACAAGCGCGAAATATTTTCACTTCCCAGTCTGGTACATCACCAGAGTGACAAGCATTGTCATTGTGCTAGAAGCACGCCACGGAGATCGCCAGGTACTGAAAGTTCACATCTAAGCATGAAACACTAGCCTAGTGGTCTGTTTAAAACTCATAAGAGAAGTTTCCTTCACCTGATGAAGGAGTAAGGATATACTCCGTGATCTTTCTATGTGTATCACTTCTAAATGCCATTCAAAGACCTGTTGAAAACTACATTTTCAAAAACTCCATTTCTAGACGCAATCTTGATAGAACTTGGGTGTTTATGTTTTGTTGAAGCATACCCAAGTATGAACATTGTTCTGTGTTGAAGCATACGTAAGTAGGACATTGTTCTGTGTTGAAGCATACGTAAGTAGGACATTGTTCTGCGATGATGATTGTGTGGTGACAATATTCTGTATTTATGCTTTATGTCGGGACAATGTTCTTTGTGAGGAGGTGATTGGTGTGGGCGTTTTTATCAGGAGTAATTTTAAAGAACATTGTAACTGCTGATTATTTATATACTAGGCACATAAAGAAACTGTGCATGCAAAAATTTAAAATCTAAATTTATCAAACCTGTGTAGACACATAAGGATTAAACTCAGAGATTAATGACATGTATCCTACATGCATGCACGTGCCACGTTCCGTGATGTCAGTTGGTTCGTCCTTGAGACGTGCAATACGTTGTTGCACGTGCATTCTGGGAAAGAGAAACAGAGCAAATGAATGCCACACAATACTGTCACATTGGAAAGCTCAACCCCTGCCCTTGCGATCGTTCAAAAACTTAAACGGCTATTGAAACGCATAGCATACCAAGGCTCACGTCTGCACAACGTCATGAGGCCTTTGGGATGGTCCGTGGGGGAATGTCTCAACGACAAGTGGCTGCACATTTCCACTGCCACCGGAACACCATTTCTGCACTGGTGAGACGCTAACAGAACACAAATGACGTCATCGATCGGCCACGTTCTGGACGTCCACGTGTAACAACGCCAAGACAGGACATATGGATAAGAGTGACCCATCTTCGCCACAGGTTTCAGACAGCAGTGATGACTGCCCGAACCATCCCTGGACTTCGCCGTATCCACCCCAACACAGTTCGACAACGTTTACGTCATCACGGGATCAGACCACGACGTCCCGCCATACGGCCTAACCTGACACAACGTCATCGACAAGCTTGCCGAATGTGGTGCCGAAATCATGTCCGCAGACCCTTGTTTTGGTGGAGAAATGTTGTTTTTACAGATGAGTCCAGGTTTAACATTTCCCATAGTGATGGACGTCAACGTGCCTATAGACGCGTGGGAGCACGTTATGCACAGGCCTGTGTCTTGGCGAGGAATCGCTGTGGTGGTGGTTCCGTGATGATTTGGGGCGGAATAACAATCCTTTGGTGATTGTTCAGGGCTACTTAACTGGCGTGGGCTACAGGGATCAGATTCTTCGACCTGTGGCAATTTCTTTTCTGCAACGTCATGGCCCTGGGTTAACATTCCAACAGGACAATGCCCGCCCTCATACGGCAAGGGTTGCTATGGATTTCTTGCAACACCACAACGTTGCCTTACTGCCTTGGCCTGCAAATTCACCGGATCTCTCCCCGATAGAGCATGTTTGGGACGAGATGGATCGACGTCTACGCCGTCTTTCTCATCCGCCAGATAACGTCCTTGACCTTGCAACAGAACTTGAGAGAATCTGGCGTGACATCCCACAAGCCTTCCTTGCACGTTTGATAGGCTCTATGCGTCGTCGATGCACTGCTGTTCTCAATGCCGATGGTGGACATACCCGTTATTGAGCTTGTGACATGGTCGTTTGACCCCTGTCCCGCTTGTGGACTCGTGACGTCATTGTGATTGAAATTCTCCCGACTTGTTATGGTCTCATGATCCCTCCATTAAAGTTTATATGTACCTTTGACATTGTTATCGTACTTATCAACTTGGATAATATTTTGACAATGCACAGTTTCTTTATGTGGCTAGTATATATTGAATAAAATATTATTTCTTGGGCTGAAATGACAAATTCCAGAATCGCAAGCTGGCATCAGAGAAAGCGAGAGAGAGAGAGAGAGAGAGAGAGAGAGAGAGAGAGAGAGAGAGAGAGAGAGAGAGAGAGAGAGAGAGAGAGAGAGAGAGAGAGAGAGAGAGAGAGAGAGAGAGAGAGAGAGAGAGAGAGAGAGAGAGAGAGAGAGTTAAATATTGTTACACCCTGTATATCATTAAGCGCCAGATAAATATGCAATGCACACTGTTTAGCATCACACTGTTTATGGTGTTGCTGTTCCACGTGCTGTTTAAATGAAATGCTTAACATCAATAATCGATTAAATGAGAAGTGTGTATTGTGCACAAACCGTGTTTCCTTGAGTGGGGTTGACGATGGAAGGCTAAGGGCTCACTTTCTGATGGTTGTAATGGACCATTGTCCTATACGTCCACAGTGGAGCACATTGATCGGTTTTCCCAGTCGCCCCCAGTATTATTCCCTGGGATTGTGATGGCGTGACAACCACAGAGTGTTAATGTATAACACTCTGTTATGAATACCTCCTGTAATGACGAAACCCGGATACAGGTAACTTTGAACATACATTTCGTTTTCGTAAACAATTTGGACGTAAACATTTTTGTTAGCTGTCTTTATTAATAACGTATTTCTTTATCCAGTGAGTTTTGTGCTTCTAAAAAGTTCGGCTTCTGGTTCTCGATGATTATCTTCTAGAACGTGTTTATGGTATACTAACACTAATACCTATATCATGAAATTACCTGAAATGAAACAACGGCAAACTGTGGATCTTGTTTCGTCTATAGTTTGAGATTAACTGTACATGTACCCAATAACGGCAAACTGTGGATCTTGTTTTACGTCAATGGCAAGCTTATAGTAGGGTCATGTTTTGTTGTTTGTACAGTACCCAACAACGGCAAGCTTATTAACTGTACATGTACCCAACAACGGCAAACTGTGGATCTTGTTTCGTCTATATTTTGAAGTTAACTGTACATGTACCCAACAACGGCAAGCTTATAGTAGGATCATGTTTCGTCTATAGTTTGAAGTTGACTGTACATGTACCCAACAACGGCAAGCTTATAGTAGGGATCATGTTTCGTCTATAGTTTGAAGTTGACTGTACATGTACCCAACAACGGCAAGCTTATAGTAGGATCATGTTTCGTCTATAGTTTGAGGTTGACTGTACATGTACCCAACAACGGCAAGCTTATAGTAGGATGTTTCGTCATGTTTCGTCTATAGCTTGATATTTCGTCTATAGCTTGAGGTTAACTGTACATGTACCCAACAACGGCAAGCTTATAGTAGGGTCATGTTTCGTCTAGTTTGAGTTTAACTGTACATGTACCCAACATTCAAGAAAAGCTTATAGTTAACTGTACATGTACCCAACAACGGCAAGCTTATAGTAGGATCATGTTTCGTCTATAGTTGATGTACATGTACCCAACAACGGCAAGCTTATAGTAGGATCATGTTTCGAAGTTAACATGTTTCGTCTATAGTTTGTACATGTACCCAACAACGGCAAGCTTATAGTAGGATCATGTTTCGTCTATAGTTTGAGGTTGACTGTACATGTACCCAACAACTGGCAAGCAAGTTTATAGTAGGATCATGTTTCGTCTATAGTTTGAGGTTAACTGTACATGTACCCAACAACGGCAAGCTTATAGTAGGATCATGTTTCGTCTATAGCTTGAAGTTGACTGTACATGTACCCAACAACGGCAAGCTTATAGTAGGGTCATATTTCGTCTATAGCTTGAGGTTAACTGTACATGTACCCAACAACGGCAAGCTTATAGTAGGCAAGCTTATATCATGTTTCGTCTATAGTTTGAGGTTGACTGTACATGTACATGTACCCAACAACGGCAAGCTTATAGTAGGGTCATGTTTCATGTTTCGTCTATAGTTTGAAGTTAACTGTACATGTACCCAACAACGGCAAGCTTATAGTAGGATCATGTTTCGTCTATAGCTTGAGGTTAACTGTACATGTACCCAACAACGGCAAGCTTATAGTAGGATCATGTTTCGTCTATAGTTTGAGGTTGACTGTACATGTACCCAACAACGGCAAGCTTATAGTAGGATCATGTTTCGTCTATAGTTTGAGGTTAACTGTACATGTACCCAACAACGGCAAGCTTATAGTAGGATCATGTTTCGTCTATAGTCTATTGAGGTTAACTGTACATGTACCCAACAACGGCAAGCTTATAGTAGGATCATGTTTCGTCTATAGCTTGAGGTTAACTGTACATGTACCCAACAACGGCAAGCTTATAGTAGGATCATGTTTCGTCTATAGTTTGAAGTTAACTGTACATGTACCCAACAACGGCAAGCTTATAGTAGGATCATGTTTCGTCTATAGTTTGAGAGTTAACTGTACATGTACCCAACAACGGCAAGCTTATAGTAGGATCATGTTTCGTCTATAGTTTGAGGTTAACTGTACATGTACCCAACAACGGCAAGCTTATAGTAGGATCATGTTTCGTCTATAGCTTGAGGTTAACTGTACATGTACCCAACAACGGCAAGCTTATAGTAGGATCATGTTTCGTCTATAGTTTGAAGTTAACTGTACATGTACCCAACAACGGCAAGCTTATAGTAGGATCATGTTTCGTCTATAGCTTGAAGTTAACTGTACATGTACCCAACAACGGCAAGCTTATAGTAGGATCATATTTCGTGCAGTGGATTTTGTTACGTTACATGTTTGTAGTATATAGTAGGAGCATGTTTCGTGTATTTCTTTGTTGTGTACATGCGTGCAACGGCAAGCATGTGTCATGTTTCGTCTATAGCTCCACGAATCGGAATGTGTGTTCATCATCATGTCACATAGTAGGATCATGTTTCGTCTATAGTTTGAGGTTCGTCTATAGTCAGCGTAGCTTAACTGTACATGTTACCCAACAACGGCAAGCTTATAGTAGGATCATGTTTCGTCTATAGCTTGAATGTTAACTGTACATGTACCCAACAACGGCAAGCTTATAGTAGGATCATGTTTCGTCTATATTTGACGTTATCTGGGTTTGTGTACCCAACAACGGCAAGCTTATAGTAGGATCATGTTTCGTCTATATTGGTTAACTGTACATGTACCCAACAACGGCAAGCATAGTAGGATCATGTTTCGTAGCTTGTTAACTGTACATGTACCCAACAACGGCAAAGTTATAGTAGGATCATGTTTCGTCTATATATCGTGTTTACGTGTACATGTAGTAACAACGTATCGCGTGTTTCAGTGTTCTTTGTTTCGTGTAGTGGTGCGTGCATGTCTGTTTGTGTGTTCACGGCATAGTCACAGAATCGGGTTTGTGTGTTTACTATGTCACGTATCGGGTTTGTGTGTTCACTATGTGTCACATGTCGGGTTTGTGTGTTCACTATAGTCACATATCGGGTTTGTGTGTTCACTATAGTCACATATCGGGTTTGTGTGTTCACTATAGTCACATATCGGGTTTGTGTGTTCACTATAGTCACATATCGGGTTTGTGTGTTCACTATAGTCACGTATCGGGTTTGTGTGTTCACTATAGTCACATATCGGGTTTGTGTGTTCACTATAGTCACATATCGGGTTTGTGTGTTCACTATAGTCACATATCGGGTTTGTGTGTTCACTATAGTCACATATCGGGTTTGTGTGTTCACTATAGTCACATATCGGGTCTGTGTGTTCACTATAGTCACATGTCGGGTTTGTGTGTTCACTATAGTCACATATCGGGTTTGTGTGTTCACTATAGTCACATATCGGGTTTGTGTGTTCACTATAGTCACATATCGGGTTTGTGTGTTCACTATAGTCACATATCGGGTTTGTGTGTTCACTATAGTCACGTATCGGGTTTGTGTGTTCACTATAGTCACATATCGGGTTTGTGTGTTCACTATAGTCACATATCGGGTTTGTGTGTTCACTATAGTCACATATCGGGTTTGTGTGTTCACTATAGTCACATATCGGGTTTGTGTGTTCACTATAGTCACATATCGGGTTTGTGTGTTCACTATAGTCACATGTCGGGTTTGTGTGTTCACTATAGTCACATGTCGGGTTTGTGTGTTCACTATAGTCACATATCGGGTTTGTGTGTTCACTATAGTCACATATCGGGTTTGTGTGTTCACTATAGTCACGTATCGGGTTTATGTGTGTTCATCATCACGTTAAAATTCGGACATTTATGTATGTGGACGTGACATTTTGCATGGAAAATACAGAAGATACCTTATCTGCTTCAGCTTCAAAGCAGACATTTTGTTTATTAAAAATGTAATTCTGTTTGAGTTTGTGGATTGTTTTGTGTCCGACCAGCTTATTTTGTATCAACAATTTAAAGCAAAAATATTTTTCAAGCTTTTTCGACAACATATGTTTTTGTCGATGAAATCCCAGGACATCCCAACCCAAACCTTTCCTGTCCAGAACATCTAAAGATCAGTCCGTTCGACCACCCTTTTCAAATACTGGAATAAAGCAATTTATTGACGTTGCCACGTTATGAAAAACACACACCAATACTTCGATGAAAATCCTGAAACAAAAGCTTAGTAATAAAAATTAGATATGGAATAGAGAACGTTTCATCTGGGTAGGTTTATGTGTATGTGCCTGTTGTTAGCAGGCAAATATAATTAAAGCTCAATTAGCCATATATAAAGACGTCAGTTATAAACATCAAGTGTGGAGTCGCGGTATTTTCATATCGGTAAGTTTATGTGCTAAGTGGAAGCGTTTCATTACCAGCAACCTATAACAAATAGAAGATCGATTAGCTGTATGTAATGAGGGGTGTGTGAAGATAGGAAATAGGAAAGCGTGAAATCCATATCTGCTAACGTTAGCCCATATCCCCGCCACATACAACACACACCTTCATTATATCAGAGGTTGGTTTCTCGGCAGGACAGAGCCAACGGATATAAACTGTATCGGTTTGGATCATATACGAATAAAGATGCAAATATGAAAGGTCAGGTAGGTGCTTTTTTTAGTGTTTACAAACAAACATGGCATCGCCAATTGTCTCTGAATTAACTATCAGGAATTTCTAAAAACGTTATTGTTATTATCATCAGAACAACAGTCTGAGATATCAAGGCTGGGACGTAAGTCATTATACAAGTTTGGGCATAAGTTGCGTAGATATAGTGAAAACACTAACTTCGATCAATACCTGTGTTTGTAGAGCTCTGATGTTTGTGTCTTTTTCTCTCTGTTTGAATTGTTAGTTTGTTCTATTTTGTTGCCGTTTGTACATCTGGCTACACTTCCACTTCGTAACATTACGACCAGCTGTTAACAGGCCCAAACATGTGACGTCTCATAGCCTTAGGTTAATCCATCTTCTATGTATTTGTTTCCTTTTTGTAGGATGACCATAGTAGATATAAAATGCATATATACACATATCAAGCAACTACTTCTTATCAAAGTATATCAGTAACTGCAAACTCTGCAATGCACTTGTTCCTTCTAGCAATAAAGTGTTTCACTTGAACATAACATAATAATACTTGAATAAACTTTACATGTGTTACTTCATGTCCCAAACATCTGGTTTTGGACGCAATCACCGAACACTAAAACGAGATTAGGCATTAACTTGCGCTTGATGCGCCATCTACAGTCAACAGTAGCGCAGTGGATTCACTTTTTGATTTCATGGCAACATTGTCTCATTGTCTGCCCAAGACACGTCAACACAGCTTTAGGAAACCTGCGCCATTGCTGTACCAAAATGGCCCCAGCTCTTGAACATTCTGGGGTTGACATCTTAAGGCACGAAGATTTCTCCCAAGATCACCCCATACGCGTTCGATGGGACTGAGGTCAGGTGATCTCGGTGGCCATCCCATGACGTCAATGCCCGCATTTTGCAGGACATTTAGCCATCATTGAGGCAGGTGTAACTATTCATTACGGTTTACCTGTGTCAGAATCGGCCCAAATAACGGCAAAAAAAGATGGACAACGCGCATGCCCTTTCTATGATGTTGACAGTTACGCGACCACGAAACAGTGTGTTACTGGATGACGTGGCGGTAGTAACACGACTAACCAAATGAATTAACCGAATTGGATTGTCCTCGGCCTGTGACGTCACACGTGGCCGTCCTATCGTTGGCGATCGGAAGCGATTGATGCCCACAGTGCCCGTCTGGTCCATCTCATGGCACGTGCAACAGCTACAGTAGACTGGCCAGCCTGGAGCATGACAATTGCACGTTTACGTTCAACATTTGTAAAGCGTGGCATGAGATTTATTAATCTCTCAAGCATTCTGTGTGGGTTTTTCTAATCACCAGCATATTCCCTCTAAAACGGTCACCATTCGACCAACTGATAAACCTTGGTTTAATTCCGAACTTCGGAGAGAATGTAGAAAAAGAAATAGAAAGAGAAAAAAGGCCCAAAAGACAAACAGTCTATAGTCTGTTTGCATTGAAAACGTACCGATGAATGTCAAATTAAACAAAAAAGTAAATCGAATAAGATGAACTTAAGATTGCGAATCCTCATAATTTGACCTTGCCAACTGAACATTTAAATCTCAGAATTTTATTCAACTTAGGATAAAAGTTGTTTAACAAACGATCATAGTTTCAAATCGCTATTATTGGTTTGTATTACAAGGGTGTATGCACATTAAATGAAACACCGGTACATGTAGAGTTGGTCTAAGTTAACGCTCATCACGAACCGCGCGTGCATTTGTTTCGCTGTTCCAGCTACTGCTCTTGCCCCCTTGTAATGCAAACCAATAATAGCGATTGGAATGTATGATCGTTTGTTAAACAACTTTTGTCCTACAATGAATAAAAGGGGTGTCCTAAGTTGTGTACCTTGTACCCAATTCTTTTCTCATAAATAAAACATGTTTAAAACAAAAACAAACAAATTCAGCATCACAGGGTGACGAAATCTCTTTCTTTAAACTTGATCTGTTTTTCATCTGGAACAATTTCTCCGTTTTCTGAAACTTGACTTGAAACTAAATGACAAAAATACTCAGGAGGTATGCTGGCATGCTGCGAAAGGAAAATACAGTATGTGCAGGCAACTATGGATTTGCCAGTTTGTATACACGCCACATTGACTGAAGAACTGCTCAGGTTGGCTTTTTGTGACCCAAATAATTATAGGGGTATATCTCTTATTGATTCTATTTGTAAAACATTTTCCTATATTTAGAATAAGCGTTTAAAATCATGGTGCGATGCACATGAAATTATTAATGAGTCCCAGGCAGGCTTCAGAGCAGGGTATTCCACAATTCATCACATTTTCACTCTTCAGGCTTTAGTTCAAAAATATTCTGGTAAAAAGAGAGGTTAGGTTTTATTGCCTTTTTATTGATTTCTAAAAGGCTTTTGACACAATATGACATGATCTCTTGCAATCTTTAGCTCAAGTTGGTATTTCTGGTAAAAAATTTAATATAATATCATCAATGTACAGCAGTTTATCTGCATGTGTTAGAACCTCAATGGGTTTATCTTAGTGTTTTACATGTGACATTGGTGCCCGTCAGGGTTGTGTGTTAAGCCCACAGCTGTTTATCATATTTATTAATAAGTTGGGTTTTTTAATGGAACAGGAAGGTGGTATAGGTGTTAATGTTTCATCTGATTTTAACACTTTGTGTTCACTTATGCTGATGATGTTTCTGCACTTTCTGATACATTTAATCAGTTACAACAGAAGATAAATGCACTTGAATGTTTTTGTAAACAAACTGGAATGTCAATTAATCTTAGTAAAACAAAAATTCTTGATTTTAGAAATGGTGGGCCACTACGGGAATATGAAAAGTGGTTATATAATGGTAATATCCTATTGAAACTGTATCCTTTTATAAATATCTAGGACTTATATTTACACCAAAGCTTGTATGGAGTAAAGCTCAAAGCTGTCTGGTATCTCAAGCTAACAAGGCAATATTTTCTGTAAATGATTTTTAAAAAAAGATGGAAAGAGTAAACTGTAAAGACTTGAACTTGTTTAAGATTTTTAACTGTATGGTTTCGCCTATTTTGTGTTATGGGTCTGAGATTTGGGGTACTAAATATTGTAGCATCATTGAATCTGTTCAGGTACAATTTTGTAAACATTTCTTGAAAGTTTGTAAATCTACCTGTAATAACATGGCTCTTGGTGATTGTGGCAGACATCCTCTACACATTACTTATATGACTGAAGTAATTAATTACTGGTGTCATCTATTGTATATGCCTTATAATAGACTGCCAAAACATTGTTATATTATGCTCAAGTCCTTAGATGATGTTGGCCGCACTACTTGGGCAACTTGTGTCAGAAATATTTTATTAAAGTATGGTATTGGCTATGCATGGATCAGTCAGGATGTTGGCAATGTTGATTATTTCATATCCTTGTTTAAGCAGAGACTTTCGGATAATCTTAAACAATGTTGGTTCACTTCAATTCAAAAAATTCTAATAAATGTTTTTATTACTCCCAATTTAAGACATTTTTAAATGTGGAAAGGTATCTAAATTCTGATATTCCTTTACATCCCAGATCTGCACTCTCTAAATTTAGATGTGATAATTTTAATTTAGCTGTTGAAACTGGAAGATACAATAAAGTTAATTACAATGGGAGATTATGTTTATTTTGTAAATTGGATGACAAAAATGTTATTGAAGATGAGTTTCATGTACTCCTTAAGTGTGAACATGTTTCTGATTTAAGGTTAAGATTTGTTCAGAAATATTTGACTGATTTTGATCCAAATGCCAATTTTATTAACATTATAAAAACACATAATGACTGTATCATAAAAGATGTGAGTATTTTTCTGTATCATGTACTTCAGGGCATTAGAAATGTTCCTCTTACACAGCATGTGCACTAAACAATCTATATCATATGCAAATGACTGTATGATGGGCCTGTGGCTTTTTACTGAATAAACTTGTCTGTCTGTCTGTCATATTAGAAAAAATAATACATTGTACTCGTGAATGCATTCCGGAATGAGCATTAATGTGCACGTGCTGAATATTTGTATGACACAAGCATATTCCTTTCAGTAGTCGAGCTCCAACCTTCGTGTTGGTAAGCGCCCTATAGTACTTATCCTCAACGATGCTGATCACAGTTGGAATGGCATCGCTGTGTGTAGTTTAGGAAGCTGTATACGTCAGTCATACTTCGACAGATTTCGAATGGGATTTATTACTATGTTGTTCTGAGTTTTGTATGTAAATAAGTAGTTATGGGTTATTAACAAGTGAATCAAAATCGGAGCATTTATCGTCATTGCACTGCGAAGCATCACTATCTTAGAAACAGCTTTCAGTCGCATCTGTGTCTTTAACTGTTACTCCCAGGACATTTGCCATCTGAAAATACACAAGCGTGATAACCCCAATCTCTACAGTTATGATCAGTTTAAGTACTATGTTTTATCATTGCTTTAGATTTCATGGGTGAAGACTTGAGGAACTGAAGAGCTGCCTTGTGGAACGCCATGGATAATCTGCTGATTATTATGATCATTATTACGTGTAACAGAGGTGAGCGTTAGGATGTCCGTTGGCTACCAGCTTTCCTCCTTAAACAATGTATCGTATTTGCAAACGTTCGTGCTAGAGCGGCTCAACGATTTGTTAATTTCATTCAATTTAATCTTTGTAAAGTCAGATGTTATTTCAAAGTGATCTCGCGGGTTTACGTGTGGCATTCGTGTTTACTGTCATCGCACTAATTCTGTCTCTTAATTCAGGGTGCTTGGTGAAAGCTGGAACTGAGTTTGTGTTAGCCTTTACACAAGTATTCCATACAAGCGACAGCCCCGACTATCTGATCTTAACACCAACCACGAATCAGGGAGCAGAGGTGAGAGTTGTCGCCCCTGATTACCCTGACCTAGTCAGCACGACCATTACCATCGACCCAGGTGAAACACACACCCTGAAAATCAACGGAGCAATGGCAATGAACTACGGATCTTACATAGACAGGAAAGCTATACAGGTGACGTCAACATATGACATAACCGTTGTAGGCATGAACACGGAGACCTGGAAAGGAGCAGGATCCAGCTACGACACGTTCCTCGTCAGTCCAACGAATCTGTTAGGGAATGAGTATTACGCTGTTTGTTACTACACCACGCACAGTGGAGCCGGATCAACGTTTGCTGTTGTTGCCACAAGTAATGATACCGTTGTTTCCATCACTTTAACAACATCGGAAGATGTAACAACAGAGTTCGACAATGTCTCATACTCTGGTGGTGACGTTATAACGAAGACCCTGCAACAGTATGACGTGCTCCAGATACAGACTCGTTCTGATCTAACCGGGAGTCACGTGATTGCAAACAAGCCTATAGCCGCCTACAGTGGAGTCAACCGAACCCGTGTTCATAGTGGTAAATGTGCGTCCACCATGGTTGACCAACTTCCTCCAGTGAACGTTTGGGGGAAGGAGTATGTGACTGTGCCGTTTCCCAACAGAGACCTAGGAGACGTCTACAGAGTGCTGGCTAGGTGGCCCAACACGGCGGTGTACATACAGGGCGTGGACCCATTCCTCTTACTCGAACCAGGAGACTGGAGGGAGTTTTACCTGGAAAACGCGACATACGTTCGAGCTAACAAACCCGTACAGCTGGCCCAACTATCGGTCAGTGGTCAATCTGACGAAGGTGACCCGTCTTTGCTGATACTGTCCCCAGTTGATGCGGCCCGAACGTCATACGCAGTTGGTGTCAGTGGAACGGGTACATGGAGGTATTACACATCAGTTGTCATTCAAGAGTCTCAAATAGATGGTTTGATCTTCAATAACCAAAATGCCAGCACATATACCGTCTCTGTGGAACAAGTGCAAGGAACCCAGTATGCCATTGTGAACATGGAACTTTTGAAATCCTCCAACCTCAGTACTGTCTCACATTTGGGGAACACGTCATTCCTGGCCTATATGTATTCAAGCTATAAGTGTAGGGCTATGGCGAACTCTTTGGGAACTGCAGCGTCAACGCTCTTTGCCGTGAGTTATTCCTGTTGGTCTCGTTTTAGAGTTGTGTGTGTGCGTTTATAACTCTTGGTAACTCTATGGTGTAGTTTAGTAATAGCCTGCGTAGTCTTTTCGTGGTATTTATGTTTTAATTGTCTGTCTTTTTCACCGGAATGACAGGATAGATTTCCATGTCCCTGTCCACTGCTCATTTCCCCTTGGTGTTACCATTGGTCGCCAGTAACGTGTTCTGGTAGTGACAGGTGGTCAAATGGTCAGACTCCGGGATTGTGTTGCTGTTGTTCCATCCTACGGCTCGGATCGTTGGTCAGATTCCAGTATTTACCGGCCGCTGTCATATAGCTGGAATATTGCTTTGAGTGGCGTTAAACATCAATAATATCAGTTTTCGAGTGAATATTTCCTGTTAATTGTGATTTGACTATCAAAGTATGTTCCGGTGCTGAAAGGTGTCCTCGCAGGTGAAGAGGATTTTTGCATTTTACCTCAATATCCAGTCAAATGACCAACCTTTCAGGCCTGCGCACCAACCTCTGGTTACCCGGGAGACGGCGCGGACAACGACTGTGACGGTGACATTGACGAGGAGGCGTGTTGTGCCAACAGAGAAGGAATAGGTAGTATTATATGCTTTATTGCCTTTGGGCAATACGTGGGAAGTCGGGCTTCAGATGTACACTGTCTATTGTCGGCACGAGGCGCTCTTCAGAACCATGTTTCTCAATTCTTCAATGTTGGCTAAAGGAAAGAATTTTACATTCGTGACGAGACTTGGTTCTCGTAAACATTAGAATGTTGGGCAGACAAGCATATCAAGAGGATTTGTTTTTCAAATTTCTGACCGGGCACCAGATCAAAATTACCTACTATAATGCCTTCAGCGCTCAATGCGCCATTTTCGTTATCGTCAGTATCTGAATAAGTGGATTGTGTCACGCTGTGGAGTATATAACATTACTTATTGTTATTCCTAACGGTTTACAGTAGGAAGTGTTCTCATACTGCACACTAATGTTTCAGATGACGACCTGGACATGGTGGTTGACGAGGATTGCTACGCACCTCCAGGTACGTGCGTGTATCCTGCCTACATTCATTCATTCAATCAATCAACCAATCTTGCTTGACAACCGTATAAGAGCCTATACCGAAACATCGCATCATAATATTATGACGAAGGACCATTCCTATTATTCGTCAACTAAAATGCCAATCAAACAACTCCTGAACACCAGTGATGACACATTGTGTGCGTCGAAAGGACAAACGAGCTTATTGAGACTATACATAACGAAAAATGTATAAAATGTGCAGTCTGTTTCCCAGACCAAAGAGAAAAGTGTTGTGTTGGTATACCATGGTCACTCTGACTTCTCCACTAATGTACTGAATAGTGAATTAGCATTGTCTTAACCTGCAGAATCATCTGTTATCATAGTACCTGTATGAGTTTATGTTACAGGTGTACAGATGGGCAGTGGCTCGGAGTATGATGTATGCTGTGAAGGCAACACAACCTATTTGTGTAAAGGTAATTCCATACACTATGGAGAACTAGGTGTGAATATATATGTCTCTCTAATAGGACAATCGATTCCTTATTATTTATATTAGAATTTTTCATTTGATAATAATATATGCTTAATATCTATGCTTCAGGCTGTTAAAGAAAACAAAAGATTATCATAGAAAAAAAACACTTATGAGTTTTATCTTATTATACACATCAAGGCTCATAGTTTTAATAACAAGAATCTCTGGTTTTGCTGCTATAGCTCAAAACCTACGTGGTGTCTGTATTTTTCGCTTTGTTTCCCATCTCAAATCTGTCCTGAATACTGAGATACTAACAACATCCCCTCCGCTGTGGAAACAGATGCCCCAACGTGAAATACTCTCATTTTTGCACATATACATCTGTGCATAAAATAAGCACCGCCCTGTATTTTTACCAGTAAATTTGGTCTGAAATGAAATTCTAAACTCTTTCCACTATAATTTGATGGCGCAAGCATTTAACATTTCTAAAACGAAAACATCATTGAAATTACCATGTACTTTAATTAGAATAATTGCCTATATTTAAAACAGGTGTTTTTCTGTCCTAAAACAAGTTACCTTATTTTGAAAAGTGAAAGTAATAATTAACTGTTATGTGGCCTATATATTCGTTATTTATTGTGAATGGATGAAAGTTTGTAAACTAAGATTTAGGAAAAGTTACAGTGAAACTAAAAAAAGTAAAATGTAACAATGCAGTAAAAGTTGCTTTACAAAGAAAACAAACGGATTTTAGCTGTAATTATCAGTATCCCGCCAGGAAAAGTGTTCATTCAATACATAAAACTCAAAATCATAAAAGATTTATTCCAAAATCTTGTTAATGTGTCCTTTTTTAGTTTTTGTCAATTGCAATCTGAATTGTTGGAAAATGGTTTGATTCTTTGACATTCGGGTTCTTCCTGATTATGCATAATTAAAGCTTACTTGATGTGTAAATGCCATCTTGGTATATAACAGAATTGTTATTTTTAGTCAAAACGTAATTTAATTGTGACGTTTGAGCAGGAGAGGAATAGTTATTTTCGGTAAAAATTCAGTCCCATCACATTTTCATCAACATATTCTTTCATACGGAATAGAAAAGGTTATGGTATTTGTAAAACTGTCAATGGATAAAGCTTCTTTAACTATAGGTTGATTAAATTGATGGCTATACCCAAACTTTTCTGTAGCATCATATCTTATTTTCAAAAATGCAGGAGTGTATACATTAAAAACCCTGATCAGCTTGATCTTTCTTCGTCAGTATTTATTAAATAATTGTTTACAAAGCAAAGCGACTCCATCTACATCAAGAGTGAATTTAAAGACTATTACCTAGTGATCTAAATGGTAAAAATTCATAAAATAAACTATATATTTAGGGCAAAACATTTTAGTTTATATCAAGAAATATAATCTATACTCCGGAAACAAGGCCCACTGTTTTAACTCTGTCAAACACAAACTTGTGACTGAAACTAGACAAACTAATACTCATGGAAATTTCCAAACTCGTATTGTGTGCATAGTTGATCAGGAAATATTGAAAGGCGTTAAGCAATACCGCAGGGTAAGAGTGGCCTATAGTATGGTTGAAATTGAATGTAGATATTAAAGGATGTCTTGTTGGACCGCCGTGATGTTGCTGGAATATTGCTAAAAGCGGCGTAAAACCAAACTCAGTCAGTCTTGTTGGAGATTATATAACATACCTTTGTTTTCAAGAATTAACCCATATTATGTTACTCAAAGACCCACGAGCTGAAACATTGCTTTGCCGACTGAGAAAAAGTCTCTCAATGAACTGTACTAACAAACTTCATGCCCACATGTTTACTTGCACGTGGTATCCGTTCCCACAGAAAACATAAGAAATGGACATTTCAAAAGGATTGGTGCCAGAAAATACTTGGCCACTAACGTGTCAGCGTCTCACTCGCGCAACAAACAGCAGTGTTTCCTTAACTGTGGGAGAGACAGGGACTGTTGGGCTGTCAACTACCAGGTGCCATCGGGAGACGTCAACTGTGAGCTACTCCGTGGATCACTGACCAGCTACTCACTGGAAGAGAACTGGTCACACTATCAGCTGGACTGGTCCTGGTCCGTGTATGTCCCTCTCTGAGCACACCCTGCACAAATAGCGTGAGGAACATCTTAGTACACTGTGCTGTCTTGTACAAAGTCCATTACACGAATATACTTGTCATGTTGACATCGCTGTTTTAGTTGGTATCATTGTTGCAGTGTTCTTGAAAAACCTCGAAGCGATATAGATCTGGAATCTTCTGCCCTCAGATCGGTTAATAGCAAATCTCGTTAGCGAAGAGACAGAAAGCAATACCAGAATTCATACACGTTAAGTATAGCAGCTTAGGTATTTCAAACCACCTATCTTCAAATTCGTGTCGATAATAATTTTGAGGGCGTTTCTTCGTACTTTGCTGCAGACTCTGGTCTCTGGTTGTCGCTTGGTATAGTATTGTTTCTGAAATCTTGCTCTGAAATAGTGCCACACTGTGGCTTATCCGGAGAAAAGGTGAACAGGATAAAATATCAACTAAAACAACCCCTTATCAAAGCTTGGTATCAGATGATCAGAGCAGGTGATGCTGATAAGATAATTAACTTTGTTTCAAAGTTTCGAGTGTCAGATGGATCATTTAGTATAAAAATAAATCTAACATGTCTAAAACTGACATTTACTATATTACCGCCTGTATTATATCGTCTAATATCGTTGCCTTATATCACTTATTTTGGTCTTGGTTTTGAAAAGACAAACTTAACATTTTCTGGATTTTAATGTTACAGGGATTTATATGTATGTACATGAATGAAAAAATGTAGACCTTGTGGTTTTCGAGATGTTTCAAAAATATTGCAACACAGTTCATGTATATTTGATCTTCAAAATTACGAAAATATCTTTTATGGCGACAGCCAAATTTGAGTCACATTGCAGTGACATTATAAAGTCATACAGCCTGGAATGTTTATGGATAGCAAACAAATAATGCACTACAGGCTATGCAATAGTTGTCTTGGGGGTTCAGTCCTGTCCAGATGCAAACCAGGAAAGTGTTGTGAACATATGATTTGGAGGATCTGTAACCAGCATAATAGTTAATATACATTAACAAATTGTCTACACTTTTGTAACTGTGAGAACAGAAACACAATAAAAAATGTAATGATTATGTCTTCTTTTTCTGTCTACTCTTCTGCCCCCAAACACAAGAAACACACACAGAGTGTGACTTACCCCTCAGGTGACAGGTATAACACCTCAGCTAGTCAAGCAGTGGTAAACAGCCTGTGACAAACTGATCACAATAGGTCTCACCCAGGTTAGCTCCAGCAACGTGCAAGACCGACACTGAAGGATATAGTGGAGTCAAGAACAACTTGAACATCTCGACAAAGTATCAACAACAGTCAGATAGTAAACTAGACTACCATCAACAGTCAGATAGTAAACTAGACTACCATCAACAGTCAGATAGTAAACTAGACTACCATCAACAGTCAGATAGTAAACTAGACTACCATCAACAATCAGATAGTAAAATAGACTACCATCAACAGTCAGATAGTAAACTAGACTACCATCAACAGTCAGATAGTAAACTAGACTACCATCAACAATCAGATAGTAAACTAGACTACCATCAACAATCAGATAGTAAACTAGATCAACAGTAAGGCAAATATGTCTGTTTCCGGTTACCCGACCCTATCCTACTTTAATTGCACTGAATTAGGGTAAAGGGCTCTCACTGACAAAACCTGCAAATAAATAACATGAATAATAATTTGATATGATAATCTTTCAATGTTTCACCACAAGGCATTGTAACAACATGAATTGGTATCCTTGAAGACATTCTCAGGTGCCTACTGTACCTGGTGATAACAGTCTAAAATATTATTATAACATATTACACTAATGAAAAAATAATGAACACTGACAAACTGTTTTAAAACATTTATTTCATTCTTAGATACTCATTTAATCAATTTCATTGAAATAGCATTGAATAGATAGGTATTCCTATTTCTTTGTATATCGGTAAACCTTCCTGACATACGGCAAACCCTTCATGATTTATTTACTGCAACATCATGTCATGTAGTATATTCCCGACATACGGCGAACCCTTCACGATTTATTTACTGCAACATCATGTCATGTAGTATATGCAAGGTCAGGACAGCTGAGATCAGCAGAAAAGTCAGAAAAAAGCAGATCACAGATCATCTCAACACCTCTCACAGATATGTTGGGAATAAACATGTTGTCATTGAGTAACTTGCCACATATCAGAAAACTATCTTCATTGATAAGGAAGGAAGATATGGGACAGTGGCAAGACACAAACCTGAATGACTTCATCAGTTCAACCAGTCTCCTGTTACCACCACCAACTACAAGTTCAACACCTTACTAGTGGAATTCTCCATACACAACACCCAGAAACTAACATTAGAAAACTGCAACCATTTGATGCTTTTCCTATAGAAACATTAATAGAAGGATATGGAACAGCAAGTTGACCATTTGATAAACACACAAAGTTTATTGTGCTTCAACTTCTTTTTAACTAACCCTGTCATTCATTCTCCAGTCATTTGATACATATACACATATAAAGCTCAAACAATCATTGGCGTGTGGGAATTCATTTACTTTAGTGAGTTAGGTTTAATACTGCTTTTAACAGATATCCATTATATCAGATTGTGTAAGGTTATTGTCAGTGGAATATCCACAGAGAGGCAGGTCTGCTTTTACCACTGCAACAGAACCCAAAAGCTAGATATGGGTCCGACAAGCCAAGAAACATAGTCAGGGTGATTTGTCTGGGGGGTGTTCTGGTGGTATCTCTTTTCCACCAACTTCTAGAATGCCACTCAAACAAATCATTCGTCTCCATATAGTTTTGTCATCTCTATAATCAGGGTGAACGAGGATTCAAACCTACAATCATATGTTCCTGGCTCACCCAAGGGACGCAACTCTGCACAGGGAATTGCAGTTTCAGATGACAGTGCCTAATCATTTTAGAAAAATGTAACTGTCTGATATATCATGGAAGAAAAGAAAACAATATGCCTCATGATAAAAGTGTAATAATTGGCAGTCTGCTACACCCCGCAAGCTATTTACAAATAAGCATAAAATTGTATTTTTCGAAAATTACGTGTCAGAAAAAACATGCTGTCATTGTGTCAGTGTATGTGCTGAGGGTTCACGTAACCCAGGTTCGCTGTGGGTTCACGTAACCCAGGTTCGCTGTGGGTTCACGTAACCCAGGTTCGCTGTGGGTTCACGTAACCCAGGTTCGCTGTGGGTTCACGTAACCCAGGTTCGCTGTGGGTTCACGTAGCCCCAGTTCGCTGTGGATTCACATAGCCCAGGTTCGCTGGGCTACTGTAAACTCCAACCGGGTGAGGATTCTGGATTAGACTAGGCCCCCAGCTTACGTCAGTCACAGGATTGTCTGGCCCACACTCATATATATATATACAATCTGTTGTCATGATGATTAACATTGACATTCACATAAATATCTATTTTGTAAAATAAAAATGATAATAAAAGTAGATGCCCTAAATTGACAGCAAATATCAAACACACATCTTCAGTGCTTGGTAGGCAAGAGCTAAATTTCTTGAAAATACATGACATGTTTTTACATTTGTACATTCCATGATGTTTCGATATAAATGAAATCTACAGTATTGTATTCAGGTAATTCTAAAAAGACACTGTGACTGTAAGAATGTAGTGAAGTACTGGTGCCTCTGTCAAATGATCTGTCGTTGGGTTCTGGCCTGCCCAAGGGACACAACTCTGCACCATGATTTGCAGCCCCTCAGATGACCAGGTCAACTCACTCTAAATGTATGAAATATAATTACATTTGACTACAGTGAAGTTAAAATGAGTGAGTCGCCTTCACAGTGAATTTCTTCGATCAACAAATGAACAGACAAAATAATCACAGTGACGCTGAAAAAACATATTGGGTTCAACTGTGCGTGATGTGTGCGATGTGCATGAGGCGTGCGATGTTCGTGAGGCGTGCAATGTGCATGAGGTGTGCGATGTGCGTGAGGCACGCGATGTGCATGAGGTGTGCATGAGGTGTGCGTGAGGTGTGCGATGTGCGTGAGGCGTGCGATGTGCGTAAGGCGTGCGATGTGCATGTGGTGTGGTGCGATGTGCGTGATGCAGCAGACGGACCACTAATGACGAGTGGTTGTCTGGCTGTCAGCAGGAAACCCATGTCCCGCCCAAATAGCTATCTTTGTGATCGATGCAAAGTAATAATACTACTTGTCCAACATAAAATCTGTATACAGATATACCACCAACAGACCAGAGATGCAGACCTGGCTACAATTGCGCTGGAAGTCTGCGGATGAAGTGCTGCTGGCCCGATCCCACAGCTTACATTACCATAAGTCTCTTCAACATAAACAGCAACACTAAAAGCATCCCAACTATGACATCTGATTTGAAGCACAAGGTAAAACACAAATCATGTGAGGACTGGCAATGGAGACGATATATTCCATGCAACCTGACATACAGCATTCACCCCTAATAAAAACATCCAAACCAAACAGTTAATGATGTAACTCTCTGCAATACTCCAATTCCAAAAACATCACATGCTGGAAGATACAAGATACACCAGCCACTCTCCGCCATTACTGATCTCAGCAGTCTGTCCTGTCATGTCTTCAATGACAGACCCTCCATATTTCACAGGTTATAATGCATTATAAGATATGTATAGCTAGCCCTCAGCTTCAAACACATTGTAAATGTAGTTCACGCTGAGAGCTGGCCATCCTCCAGTTTGGAGGGCTTGTGGTACTGGGTGGTTGTCAAGGTGATCACACCTGGTATCATGGATCAGTCTCATCAGCATCCCAGGATATCCTTCACTAGCACTTCTCTGTTGGTCTTTTCAGAACAGCCTGAAATATAACAACAGATATAACAGATAAATCTTCCTTAAACAACCTGTTTTGTATTCCAATCCAGTTTATGCTATTGCATTTTATCACTATTTCGTTTTGCAATGCCACAATGTCATGTCTCAATATCAGAATACCGTGTCGTAATTTGTCACAGTACCACCTGGCTTTTCAGGGCAATATGGTGATGGCAATAATCAGCCACCATAGGGGTCTGTACAATACTGATGACACATCCTGAAATATTCAGAAGTCATGTCATTAATGAACAACCTTCAAAGCAACATCGTCATCAGACAGTGTCATGACATATGAAAGTGACCTCCACAAAAGTGAGAGTTTTATCATTGGTAATTTGTAAATATGTAATTTTTAGAGTAAAATTGATATTTTATACTTATCCTGACTCATGCTCTTTTTGCTTGTCTTCTTCTTCTTGCGAACATAGTGGAACACTTGTATCTCCCTAATTGAAGCTCCCTTCAATGTAAAATCACTAATTAGTACTCAGCACGAGTTACCTCCCTTCCACAAGCGCGGGAACGAGGGCGCCACCTCCACCCATGTGCCTCACTCTCTCCTCATATACTGAGCCCAACATTTGAATTTACAGGGAAATCCAAAGTGTTATGTGGGGAGGATGGGAGGGCTTACCTCATGAGTCAGGATAAGTATAAAATATCAATTTTACTCTAAAAATTACATATTTTTCCTTATCCTGACTCATGCTCTTTTTGCTTGTAGACTCGGACGGAAAGGAGGTGGGAAATATATAATACTTTGGATTTTAATAATTAGTGATTTGAACTGTGATGATTGTAATAACCCTATGGGAACTTCATAAAGGTACTGAACTGATGAATTCCTGCTGCTAACTTATCAGCTGCCATATAAAGGTTATTACAAAGTACTTATTATGATAAAGTATATATAACATTAATACAATGCTTAAGACTAATAGACTTAAGCTTGTTAATATGCTAGTATAAACTCCTTAGAGTTTGTTAGCTAAAATACTTTAAGATATAAACATAGTACTAAGCTTAAGATATGATTAAACTTAAGCTAATTATATAATAGCAAAACTCTTTAGAGTTTGTTAGTTAATATACTTATATGATATAGATATAATGCTGAGCTTTAGATATAAATAAGCTTTAGCTACATATATAATAGCAAAACTCTGTAGAGTTTGTTAGCTAATATATTTTTTACAATATGAGTATAGTACTGTGCTTAAGATATAATTAACTTAAGCTACATATATAATAGCCAAAACTCTGTAGAGTTTATTAGCTTATAGATTAATAATGTAACCATAGTACTAAACTTAAGATAAGATTAGACTTAAGCTAAATGTATATAGCAAAAACTCCTTAGAGTTTATTAACTAATATACTTTTATGTTATAACCATAGTACTGAGCTTAAGATATAATTAAACTTAAGCTATATATATAATAGCAAAACTCCGTGGAGTTTTGTTAGCTAATACATTTTATAATGTAACCATACTGCTTAAGATATGATGAAACTTAAGCTAATTGTATAATAGCAAAACCCTTTAGAGTTTGTTAGCTAAAATACTTATATGATATAAACCTAGTATTGAGTTTATGAAGGAAACCTTAAGCTACATATATAATAGCAAAAACTCCGTAGAGTTTGTTAGCTAATATACTTATATGATATAAACATAGTATTGAGCTTTGAAGGAAACTTTAAGCTACATATATAATAGCAAAAACTCCGTAGAGTTTGTTAGCTAATATACTTATATGATATAAACATAGTATTGAGCTTAAGATTTGAAGGAAACTTAAGCTACATATATAATAGCAAAAAAACTCCGTAGAGTTTGTTAGCTAATACAAGTTATAATGTAACCATAAAGCTTAAATTATGATGAAACTTAAGCCAAATATATAATAGCAAAAAACTCTTTTAGAGTTTTGATAGCTAAAATACCTATATGATATAAACATAGTACTGCGCTTAAGATATGAATAAGCTTAAGTTACATATAGCAAAAAACTCCGTAGAGTTTGTTAGCTAATACATGTTATAATGTAACCATATTGCTTAAGATATGATGAGACTTAAGCCAAATAGCAAAAACTCTTTAGAGTTTGTTAGCTAATATACTTATATGATATAAACATAGTACTGAGCTTAAGATATGAATAAGCTTAAGCTACCTATCTAAAAGCCCAAACTCTGTAGAGTTTGTTAGCTTATATATTTTAACAATCTGAGTATAGTACTATGCTTAAGATATAATTAAGTTAAGGTAAATATATAATAACCAACTCTGTAGAGTTGTTAACTTATATATTGTATGATGTAATAATCATAGTACTGTGATGATAAAAAGAACTTAAGCAAATTATATATAGCATGTAGCTATTTAGTACTGTTATAAGATAAGTAGAAATCTGTAAGATTGACTTATCTTCTCCGAGGAACTGTCAACTGTAGTGCGAGGACCATGGGATCGAATTGGTGGATACCTGAGACGTCCTCGGTGATGATATCTCTCAGATAATGGTTGGCAACCACCATATCGGATCTCCAGAAAATAAACCCTCCATTATTTCAAATAACATTGTGTAGCTCAATGCAGAAGTTAGCGCTCTAATATCATGAGTATTAAAAAGCTCATGGAGGGTCGGATTGGGTCCATCCGTCTTGTATGCACGTAGTATGACAGTTCTGATCCAAACGGAGATATAGTACGTGAGATTTCATTCTGCGTAAGTTGATGATAGAGGAAATAATCTGTTGTATTATTCCCTTCTGTTTGGTTCGGTGGAGATAAATTTACAGTGCTCTTGCCAGCCATCGTTATAGAATCATCGTATCATGAAGTCCAAGTATGTCATCCAGGCGTGTTCATAAACCTCACTTGTGAGGTGTTGGAGCACTATATTCAGATCCCCAAGTTGGAGGGTGAAACTTCCGTTTTAATTCTCAAACTTATACAAACCTGTAGAGGTTATGAATTCTTTGAAGAAAGTCCTCCTTGGGGTACATATAAGCATTAAAATGTCCATTTTAAATCCTACGACAGTTGTAACTATATTTTTAATAAAATATTTACAAAACAAAAACTCGCTTTGTCTTGTGAGACCACCCCTACAGGGCCCCACCGACCAACACAGCCAAGAGCAGGTAACTCGCCGCCTACCTCGCACTCTCACTTTCATGCTGAACGGTCAGACAGAATGAGGGGAGGCGGGAGTTTTACCTCAAGGAGGACTTTCTTCAAAGAATTCATAACCTCTACAGGTTTGTATAATTCTTTTTCAGAAGAAGTCCTCCTTGGGGTACATATAAGCATATGACAGACTCCCAAAGATATTTGAGACGGAGTGGCATTCTGTCTGGCAACAACTAAACCCGTGGTGGAGGAAATCTACAACCGATAATGAAATAGAAAACACCGAGCCACCTGACCGCTGATGTCAATCAGACGGGCGGAACTAGAGAGCCCAAGCTTATATGTCAATTGGCTCAATATCAATGACATAAAACCCCGCCCCCAACCATTACAATGGAAGGAATGTATGGGGACATGTCGAACAACTCCCAACCCTAATATAGCCCCAGCCAGACAATCGGCGAGAGGTATAAGGGTAGGGAAAGCGTAAAAAAATTTAAACGCTACAAAGCCAATAACCCAGGAGTCGAGCTAATAAGTACTGCAAACTAATGCTCGAATGCAGCCCCTGTTTGGAAGAGGGCTAGCCGACCTCGATAAAACCCAGAGAAATTATTAGCCTCGCTAAAACTTTCTGAGGAAATCGAACGAAAGTACAAACGCCATGCATTGTAACGAAAGTGAAAACACCCCCACCAAACACTCTCGGCGCGGAGGAGGGTAAGTGTAGGCCACCATCCCACAAAGCTGATTAACACAGACTCCCAAATAACAAGGCTCGAAGAGGGAAAACTGTAAGCCGCACAAAAATCCCCTGAATAGCTTAAAAGCGAAAGTCAACATATGTTGGCTCACCATTACACTAACCTGGTCACGCGACATGCGGCTCAAGAGAGGCATACCAAACAGTGCCCCGCGGGGGTTCGCGACCCAATTCGCCGCAAGACGGGTTAATAGCATATGACTGGTTAAAGCGCTCAAAACGGACCTCGCCTCGAAGGGGACGAAGGGACGATGTACACCCAAACCCCAATCCAACCCGAAGGATGGTAAGGTTAATAATGATGTAGTGATATGAAATATATCGACATTGAACACAGAACCGATACCAATGACCAGTTACTAACTTGGTCAGGGTGGCAGGTCACTCTCCACTGGAGAGAACCGAAGATCTAACCGAAAGCACTCCATCCTTAGAATGCGGTCAAGTTGGTAATGGCGAATGAAGGCGCTCTGCTGGCTCCAAAGAGTTTACAGAACCGATCTTCATTGAGCAGTGCCGCTGTGTATTGTCAACAAAGCCGCATCTGCCCTACCCAGTCTGCCTTCAACCCTCGGGGAGGTAAACCGTATCATTGTAACCATACAACCACGGAAACAAGCCAACGAGATAAAGTGCGCTTTGTTAGCAGACTCCCCAGTCTTCCGCCACCAAACAGCACACATGGGTACCCGTGACGGATCCCTTTGTTCGCTCGTTTCGCGACAGGCACGGGTGAGCAATCGAAAGATTGGTCCCCAGCGGAAGGCTGGTAGTAGTGGAAGTGCGATATGAGCAGTCACGGAAAGCAATATCGCGACTGAGAGTGGTAGGTATCCGAGTCGAATACGGACATGATCAGTATAAAATACTGTCAGTGTCGGGTCAGTGGGAATCGCATGGATGTACCCGACCCTTCTACCAGAGTTCACCACAACAGTAAAGTCGCCTTCCACGCCAACAAGTGAAGTGAGAGAGACGATATACTTGAAAAATTAGGGCCAGACAGCCATTTGTGAATAAGTGGCAATTTTAAGGTGGGCTGGTCGCCGACGAGGCGGTCGAACCCTGCTCATGCCAGCTACGACGCCGATGTAATGAGAGGATGCTGCCTAGGCAGAGCACCATCGAACGAGGTGTGAAACGTGGAAATAGCCATGGAGTACCCGCAATGGTGGAGGTCATAAGGCTCTCAACCAAAACGAGGTTATAGTAACTCCAATATCCGAACTAAGTCCGCAGAATAGGGATTATGAAATCCCCCTTTCTGCACACCAGCGCGCCCCACCTATCAACACACTGAACGGGTGTCAATCCCAGGCAGAATTGTGTCTGCAACGGTTGCAGGAATTCGCGGTGTTATACCCGACAGAGGCCAAGCCACCCAGTGAATGGAGGATTCGTGTGGCGCCTCGCAGAGTGAGAATGTCTGGTCGAA